GGGAATATGGGCACCCAGTGGGGCAGGGGAGCTGGGGGAGCAGCGCCGGCTGCGCTGATTTCCCCCCCCCCCCGCAGGGAGCCGTGGGCCCGGGCGCGCCGGACGTACTTCGGGTCGGGCCGGAACCAGGAGTCGCTCCGGGTGGTGGAACAAGCTGCCTTTTTCGTCACGCTCGACACCACGGAGCAGGGGCTGCTGGGCCCCGACCCGGGCCGGGCGCTGGATCGATACGCCAAGGCCCTGCTGCACGGGCAGTGCTACGACAGGTGGGGGACCCCCCCAATCCCCCCGAGTTCCCCCAACCCCCTCCCTGACCCCCCAAATCCCCCCCAACCTGCTATGCCAAGGCCCTGCTGCACAGGCAGTGCCTGGACAGGTGGGGGACCCCGGCCCCCCCGAGCCCCTCCCTGACCTCCCAAATCTCCCCCCGATCTGTTCCACCCTCCGACCCCCCGCAATCCCTCCAGCCTTCTCCCTGGCAGCTCCCGTGAGATCCCCCCTCACGAATACCCCCCGTTCCCCTCCCCAGGCCCCCTATGGGGTGGGGTTGGCAGCCCCCAGCCTTTCTGGGCCCCCCGCAATTCCCACCACTGATTGCCCCCAGTACCTCGCAGCTCTTCCCACCTTCCCTGCCCCCCACCATCTCCAGGACCCCCAGCAGGGAGGTGCCCCCCCCCCCCGAGGACTCCCGCAATCCCCCAGTCACTCCAGGGCCCCTTCTCGGTCTCCACGGCGGGGGGGACCCTGCAGCGCCCCCCTCTCCCTCCTTCCCTGGACCCCGGCTGGCCTGCCCCCCCCCGGCCGTGCGCCCCTCCCAGGTCTGGGCCTCATCCCTTGGCTGCCCCCTTGCAGGTGGTTCGACAAATCCTTCACCCTGATCGTCTTCCGCAACGGCAAGATCGGGCTGAACGCGGAGCACTCCTGGGCCGACGCCCCCGTCATGGGCCACCTCTGGGAGGTACGCCCGGACGCCTGGGTTCCCTCCCCGCTCTGGGGGGCGGGGTGGGGGAGGTGGGAGGCCGGACGCCAGAGTTCCCTCCCTGTTCTGGGGGTGGGGGAGCTGGGAGCCCGGACGCTTGGGTTCCCTCCCCACTCTAGGGGTCGGGGCGGGGGAGGTGGGAGCCCGGATGCCTGGGTTCTCAGCTGCCTGC